GCGGCGACGGCCACCGGAAGCCCGGCCACCAGGAGCGGCGCCCGCTTCGACTTCGACGACGGCGGCGCGTACTGCGGGGGCTGGGAGGGCGGCAAGGCGCACGGCCACGGCATCTGCACGGGGCCCAAGGGGCAGGGCGAGTACTCGGGCTCGTGGAACTCGGGCTTCGAGGTGGTGGGCGTCTACACGTGGCCCAGCGGCAACACGTACGAGGGCTACTGGGCGCAGGGCAAGCGGCACGGCCTGGGCGTGGAGACCAAGGGGCGCTGGGTGTACCGCGGGGAGTGGACGCACGGCTTCAAGGGCCGCTACGGCTCGCGGCAGAGCGCGGCTAGCGGCGCCCGCTACGAGGGCACCTGGAACAACGGGCTGCAGGACGGCTACGGCACCGAGACCTACGCGGACGGCGGTAAGGGCGGGCCGGGGGGCGCACGTCTGTCCGCGCCGGGTTTTACCGCGCGATACAAAGGCTTGAGCCTCTGATTGGCCCGAGCTGTGCAGGGATTGGTGGAGCCCTGAGCCAATCAGGTGCCCCACCAGGCAGGCGGAATTCGCACCCCCGCCTGTGCACCTGCAGCCTGGCTTTCTGACAGCTAAGCCGATTTAAAAAAAAAAGGTTAAGTCGGCTTAACTGTGAGTGGACACTCCTGTGTGGAGCAGAGCTGAGTTCAGTGCCGCACGAGTCTTGAGTTGCGTCGGTTGTCATGAGTCGGATTAATTAAGCTGACTTTGCTTTGCAAGATGGCTGCTACCCTGTGAGGGAGCTGTAGTTGCGTGTGCTCCAATGTGGCATAAGTCGACTTAGTTAAGTCACGTATTTGGAGTCTTTTGAGGATGTGTGTATGCACCCTTCATCTCGCAGCAAAGCACAACATGGGCGCGCATGTTGTTTCCTCAAGCATGAGTGGGTCAGCGTACCTGGCAGGGGAGATGGGCAATGGCCAGGTTTTCCATTGCCCGCCATGCAGGCTGACCCCTACCCCTTTCCCAAATGCTGGAAACTTGTCCCCATTACCATTGTGCAGCCTACTTTTGCGCTTTCCCCTGACTTGCTCCTTCCACTGTTTGGCTAGGAGCAAGCGTGACTAGGGGGCATCGGCGCTCCAATGCCTCTGGGCTTGCGGCCTGCTCCTAGGATGCCTGCCATGGATTTGGGGAGTATCCGAAGTGCCAGACTGATGGGTCTGGGAGGAAGAAGACTTGCCCGGTGGTAGAGCCACACACACTTGAACGATTGAGCTCAGCTCAGTTGATTTGGAGTTTGAAACTAATTTAGCCTTAAGCCAAAAAATTTAGGACTATGGAAAAAGGTGTGACATGCATCATCACATATAACGCAACACAGATTTTTCTCCAGTTAAATGCAAACTAGAAGCTTTTGTAATATACTAGGGGCTCAGGGCTGGATTCTTCAATTTAAGATTGAAGTGAAAACCAATATATCTTCATTGGAATGAGTTAAAAACAGTTTGCAGGGCTGTGAAATAGCAGCTTCCTTACTAGGAACAGTGAACAGAGCACAGCACTGCAGCACAAAGGCTAGCTGGATGGGTGGAACATCAAGATCATGAAAAAGGCGGGAGGGTGGTTAACACCTGTGGAATGAAGAGTTCAGAAGGGATGGGTAGATGTTAATGAGCCATGGAGTCAAGCGACTCCCTCAGCACTGCCCAGCTAGAAATGTTGCTGCTGCCAGGCAGTTGGGTTTAAATTTTGGTGGAGGAATCAAAGGGAGGTGCAAGTGAACCTGTGTATCCCCTCCTGGAGCTGTCCTGGATACATGTCAATCCTTGCTAGGATGCATCTCGCCTGTCACCTACACTCCAGCATCGCACTGCTCTGTGCGTTCTGGTCAATCCCAAACTGCAGGGTGACATGGGCAAATGCTGCGGGATAGGAGTTAAGTTATTTAGGGGATTCCAGATCAAACCACTGCTTGGCAAATCCCCATCCATGCTCACACCCCAATTGTACCGATTCTTCAAATATTCACCATACATGTTGGAAATGCTTTGTTGACAAGTGTCTGAAACTGGGGGGACAGAAGTAATGAAACATCCCAAGAATCCCTGTGTATGGAATTGCAGAGCCCTTCTATGCTGTAACATTCCAGTCTGCCTTATTTAGTTTAGCTAAATAAAGAGGGTGATTTGGAGCGGGGGGAGGAATTCATTGAAATATGCCTCAGAACTGCATTCTGTTTTTATTCAGGACACACAACGGCAATCATTTATGAAGGCAAAATAACTTTAGAAATATAACGTTTCATCATAGGGAAGTATGGCACTGAAAGCTGTTAGATTTGCGAGGATTCAGGCAATTGGCATTCCAAGGCTTGGCTTTTATCAAGAATTATTGAGCAAGATGCTTAATAGTATGAGGAGTCTTGTTTAAGTTCCTTCTTGTACTCTTGAACCATGAGGTTGTGGGTAAAGCTGGAGGGTAAAAATGGTGTCTTTCATCAGTCCTGTTCCTTAAATTTTCAGTCATCTTTTGCCTTCACGGCATGAAATTGATTTAAATAATACCTTATTTATTCACATACCACGCTCGCTATTCTCCCCAAAATTAGGAATTGCAAAGTGGGATATGTCTTGAAACTGATTCTAAACAGAAAGGAAAAATCTTTTTCTTCATTCTACCTTCCCAAAAACAAGGTGCTGTTTTGGGGGTGGTAGGTGAGTAAATATGAAAAAGTATAGCTTTACTATAGCAGCAATATCTACAGCAGAAGCTAAAATATACTTGTATTTGTGATGAATTTAAAATGTTGATATAAGCATCTTTGAATCATTTACAAGGTTTATTTCTGCTTAGTTTAATGACACACTCAGAATTGTTGCCTAGCTAATACCTAGTATAATATTTTTCACTTGGAAGTGTCTTACTTTGTCTTACAGATAATATGAAGGGATTATCTCACCCAGTAATATCTCTTTGGTATGCTGCTGTAAGTGTTGAATGGTTCGGATTAACCCTATTTAGCAGGGGAGGCTGAAAAGAAAGAATATGGCACAGAATTTAAAATGTAACTGAGGTGCTAAGGTGAATACTCTTCTTCTATTGAAAAAAATCAGATCCTTAATTGTGTCTTTCAGAATAAGTTAGGACTTTGTTATATACCATCTAACAGATGGCCCCTTTGTCAATGAAATATTCCCTACCATTCTTTTGTGACCGACTCAATATTGAAGCAGTTCCCAGACTTATTAGGGAATGTGTCACTTAATATATCCCTAACAGCCTTTGACCATTAGTTTAGCACTGATCCAGAAAGATGTAAACCACTAAAATCATTTCCTGCAATCCCAAAGTGTTTCTTTGGGGTCTCCAAGGACTGATCTGGTCTGACTGTGGCTAGCTTGTGAACTCTGAGAAGTTCACTGATGAGGGTGATATGGTTGCCAAGTATTTGTCCATTATCAGACAGTTAGGCCTATGCATAATGGGTGTTTGGGCAGTTCACTCAGCATAAGAACTTTTCTGACTTTTAAGAGAGGATAATATCTAGGGTGCAACACCAGAAGCTAAGATTTGTGATTAATAACTGGCACTGAGAATGGGGAGCACATTATGTTACGAAAACAGCATTCATTCTGTCTGCTTGTCTTCATCTACTCCCTGATCACCAGATCCAAATGGGACCAAACTCCCTTAACCTGAGCTTGTTAAAATTTGTTCTTGAGACATCCAGTTCAAGGACCTAGGAAAGTCTTCCTTCCACGTGCTGCAAAGCGGGGTGCAACCTTGAAGCTCTAGCTCCTTGGTGAGTAGACCAGTGGTTCTGAACTTTTTCAGACTCAAGGCACGTCTCATCAGACTCAAGGTACCCCTCCATAACATTTGTGAATTAAGGGACACCCCTTTTCTAAAACAAATTTATCTCTGCAGAGGGGCCAGGCAGTGGGGGTGGGGGAGCAGCTAGGCAGGCAGAGCCTGAGCATGCTAGGATCTGCTTATCTCATTACACCTCCAGCCTCAGCCTGTCCTTATCAGTTTACCTCCTCACACCTCACTTATCTCTTCATACTTCCTACAGCACCCTTCAAAGGATCTTGTAGCACCCTAGGGGGCCCTGGCACCCTGGTTGAGTGTCACTGGACTAGTTGCATGAGAAAAATAGTCTCCAACTTTGAGAACCCCTATTTAATATTTAAACCTGTCCATCTGTTTTTAAAGCATTAAACCTGTATTTTTAAATGATGTATTTAGCTCAAATTATCATTTGAAAATATAGCTCTATTCACAGAAATTAAGCCTGGCACCCTTTCTGTGGACAGGGCATCGTAGCTCAAAAGGGGAATGTGATTTGGTACCAGGAAGTCCTTTGTGTGTGAGAGCAGCCCATGTTAAAACACCAAGTGAAAGGCTCCTTGCTTGGACTCCTTTTTCTGGCTTTTCTTCCAGCATAACCAAAATTCATCATTCTAGAACTAATGAGAGGGAAGTGGGTTGTGTCTCAAGGCACTCTGTGTCTGATAATATAAAACCTCATGGAAGAATCTGCTACTGTAAGAAAGTGGTCCTAACCCCTGCTTTGCCTTACAAATGACGGTATATATTACTCAAAAAAAGTATATCTCTTTCATTCAAATTGTGGCCCCAAAACATTTTGCAACGTTGATGTGTGCAGACCAATTCCTAGTTAGCTGAGAAAACACACTGGCAAAAATTCATATTGTGAGGAAATAAAGCATGTAATTTTTGCATGTAATGTAAGCATGTAACATTAAGACAGATAAAGAGAGGGTAGGTGAGTTTTAGGTGAGAAGTGAAAGGAGATAAGGACTCTGTGAAGCAGAGAGATCTAGTTAGAGAAGCAGTTATAGCTGGTAGGAGCTGCAGAGAAGAAAATACTTCCCCTGACAGTGGTGGAATTGTGGAGACCTGTGCTAGATGAATCATGGAAGATGACAAGTAGCAGGAAGAGGAAAGATCTGTGGGCTTGGCCAAAGAAAGTCTATGGACAATTATAAAAATAGGAGGGGGCACTTTTTGGATCCTGAAGTGCTCGGATACAGTTGTGCTGCTTTGTGCATAGGTGAAGGACAGAGCTAGGTAAGTTCTGGCCTCTGCACAGCTGGGACTAGGGGAGAAACTTAAGGAAGAATATAACAGCATTCATCATGCAGAGAAGAAGGTGAGGCTTAGAGGAAGATTTCTCTGGAGCTGGAACAGAGGTGGTAGCAGTGATTTTTGCTGCTGCTTTTGTGGGCTGTCAAGTGCAGATAATAGATGGCAGCAGTATTGAAGTTTGCCACACTTCCTACTACTGATGCTGAACAGCCACTCTGAGGCAGCTAAGAGGAGATTTGGATGTTCCTAAAAACCTTGGGCCAAAGTCAGCCCTAGTGCAACTTGACTGACTCCAGAAATAATGATAAAAACAATTCTGAAGTACTATTTCTT